TTTTCTTTGATCTTACCCCAACAATAGCAGCATGAGCTGAACTGGAGTGTACACAGCTTGGTTCAGCCTTTCTCCAGCCCTGCGGCTTGGACCCGCTGGGGAGAGGATGTGAGCATATACCTGTGATTACCGTTTACGTCATTATTTCTGCTTACAGCCTTGCTACGTGAGAGACGCTTTTGTGTTCTCTTTTCAAGGAAGAAACCCCGGTTTTAAAATCATGAGATGTGCTTCTTGTTATGCATCTCTGGGGCAGGAAGTCCAGAAGGTGACAATAACTAGTATCAGTATTTGGATTCAAGAGTTGATACAGGGACCTAGTGTCAAGTGTGAGTCTAACAAATTAGACTGTATCTATCCCCAATTCCTGGCTGATGTCCTTTTAAGGTGAGAGGGCAAGTGGTATGATATTGAAGACTCAAGAATTAATTGTGTTCTTCCAATCCAGCAAAATCACAGCTATATCTACAAAAGCTTTACACACTTCTTAAGCAACTTCTGGGTTTAGACTACAATAAGTTTTTAGGAAATGAGTTGTTGTGTTAAAAGCGTTAGTGTTTTTAAGTGATCTTATTTGCATTATGGACTTGTAAAAGTTTACAGAACTCTGTTCCTAAAATCGTCAATAACGTGGGCTGTTAGTTTTTGAAAACAAATGCTAATAATCTTTCATGGTACAGAACTGGATTTATTTTTTCTCAGTTTAGTGATGTATTGTAGGCAAATGTAATCAGTTGAGAACTCAGAATCTGATTCACAAGCTGTTCTTTATTCTATTAACGTAAATGGTATCTATTTGAATCTTTCAGGTTGTTCCAGAACGTGCTAAAGATAAAAGCAGTAAATCATATGCTATCAACTCGACTATTTAACTAACCCTTTCTTGTTGTAGGCTGGCTTTCATCTGTGTAGTCACATCTATAGCATGTGCTCATATATAATGCTTTCCTGATATCCGTGATGACACGCTTTTGTGCACACACATCTGAAGAATACTCGGGGCTTGAAAGCGTGTGTTCAAGTCTATAAGCCTGTGAAATACAGAGTTGCTGTTGATATTTTTCACAGAGTATGCTGAATTTCTACACTGCAAAGGGAGGAAGTTTACTGATTTTGATGAAGTTCGTCAGGAAATTGAAGTAGAAACAGATAGAATAACAGGAGTGAACAAAGGCATTTCTTCAATTCCGATTAATTTAAGAATATATTCTCCACATGGTAGGTAAAATCCTTCAACTTTATATTTCTGTCATGTAACGTATTACGTAGCTCTGTCTGCCTAGCTGTCTCTTTAGCATGTGTTCTCATTGCTGGATCAGAAGGCTTCTGGGATGAAAAACTTCTGAGTTGAACCAAAAGTGGACACGTATCTGGAATAATCCTCAACTTCTCCTGTGTTACAAAACTACTCTACGGTGGAGAGCTGTTGCCATCAGAGCTGGGCAGAACACAGGCTCTGACCCATTTCATAGTCTCATGATTTAAAGATACTCTCACTCTGCTCGAGGATGAAACCAATCTATCCCTCAGTACATATATATACCATTGGGTAGTAGCTCACTAGTAAAGAGAAATAATGGGAGACTTTGTGGCAAATTTTTTTGCCACCCTCCAGATGGAGTCCCTGATTGGTAATCTAGAAAGTTGTTGTGTCTCTCTCTGCTATTGGATGTTTATTGTTTGCTGTCACTAAAAATATATTTAGACAATAATGGTGTTTGAAGCTGCTTTCTGTTGTAGACCCCCCGTGTAGATCAAAGGTAGTTCCTCTGGTTGCCATCTGCCCAATTTAATGAAGGCAATCTAGAGAAAACGCTTTGCATTGAATCGGTCTTGGATGCAGGAGAAAAGGGGTGTGTTTGGCTGAAGATTTTTTTTTTTCACCCTAACCACCTCATCTGATGTCTTCATTGCAAATCACAGGGCAGAAAGATTACACTAAGAGGAGAGGTAATTAGGGAGATGCTGACCCTCCCTTTGATCTACTGTGAGCAGCCTTGGCTCTAAACACACGCCCTGAGCCCTTCTCTGCTATGCAGATGTGGCATGGCCAACTGAGAGGAGCTGAACTAACTGCCCTGTCTTAGAGCTTGTTTGTTGAACATGCTGATTCCAGGAGAAAGTGAAAATTTCCGACCTAATGCTCTTTGTTTTATTAGGATCAATCTTTTAGTTCACCAACTGTTGTCTGTATTAGCCAGACCCCAGATATACTTCTGGTGTTTCCTGTGTAGGAATTGCATTTTTCTCCTTTGTCTAAAGGATACCTTGTTATCCCAGTACTGGCTGAACAAGCTGGGATGCTTCTGGTTGGCATTGTGGCCTGTAGTCGGCAAATCATGCCGGAGCAAACCAGGTTTTCTTAATGGATAATTTTTTTCATGTTTCTTATTTTTCTTAAGAAGTTAGAGTGAAAAAAAATCCAAACAAAACCACCCACCAAATCCCAAAATAACAACATACCGCCAAACCCCTCAACAATAATTTTGCTATATAAGTTAGGCTATCTGTTGACTTTTTGGGAAGTTTCTTATTTGGAGACACTGTTGAAAGCATGGTCATAGAAAGACTGTGTCTAAAAAAAAAAAAAAAAAAGCCTGTTTTGGGTTGATTTGAAAGATGCAGTGGGAATAGTATGTTGTCTGTGCTTCTGTTGGTGGAAGCAGCTCAGAAAGCCGTATTGATTAGTCTAAGAGCCTTCAAGGATATTCAAGTATCATTCTCCTGTGCCAGTTGTAATGTTTAAAGTATTAGTTAGTACTAACAAATCCAGAGATGAAAGACCAACAGGGAAACAAGTGTACTTTTCAGGTTGTCAGGCATTTTGTTCAAACCACTGATGATATTTATATACCTGTAAAGGTAATTTTGTGGGGTTTTATGTGACTAAAATTTGTCTGCAAGCCTAAGTGTGTAGGCCTCTTTAGAGATGTCTGGCGTGCTAACCAGTTTTATGATCTTGTGTTTTCCATGTAGTGTTAAGCCTGACTCTTATTGATTTGCCGGGAATCACTAAAGTGCCAGTGGGGGATCAGCCTCCAGATATTGAGCAACAGATCAGAGACATGATAATGCAGTTCATCTCTCGGGAAAACTGTCTGATACTGGCTGTGACTCCAGCTAACACTGATCTGGCCAACTCGGATGCACTGAAGTTAGCAAAGGAAGTGGACCCTCAAGGTAAGCCCGAGAACGTAACTGCTGTTTGATCTCAAGCCTAATCACATAATTGGCAAAAATAGACCGACTCGTGTGGAATACAATTTATAATACTTAATATAGATGTATATATACACGTTCTCATATAGGCTTCAACATCACAACAACTGCTACCTTTTTACAACTTCTTGTAGTATGTAGCAAAACGTGCCGTGGTGCTGATGGGATTTCTGGGTACTTGCATCATAAGCTTTATACAGTCATATCACAGGAATGCTGAGCCTTGTTAGGGATTTGAGGAACACATTTCAGCGCTGGCAGGGACGGTCCCTTCTTTTCCAGATATACCATAACTTGCAGTTGTAGCTTGTACGGTGTGATACAAGCTTTGAGAACGTCACATGTCTATTATTATCTAATTGTAAGATGTAATTGTCCATCCTGAGTATAAATGATCCTTCACTGTCTTTTTACTCCTGCTTCTGCTCTGGTCAGGCCTTAGGACCATCGGTGTGATCACAAAATTGGATCTGATGGATGAAGGAACAGATGCAAGAGAAATTCTAGAAAACAAACTACTTCCTCTTCGTAGAGGTGAGAATGTTCAGTTGCCAGTGTTCTTTGCAATCTAGAAGGTGGTTTGGCTAAGGGTGGTGTTTGGGAATCCTGGAGGTCAATCAAAGGTTATGCCGGACTTGATGAGTTCCTAGCTTTTATCATTATCTTTTTAGCAAACATAAAAGGCAGCTGTGCTAAAAATATCCTGCAAATAAAATAATTTTTATCTGGAGCTGGAGAATAACACTGCATATTCCAGAGCAAGAAATGTCAGCACGAGTTGTTAGTCAATTTTCTCTTCTGTGTCAGATTGCTGTTGCTTTAATGAAAGAATCTTTTTTATTGATGTGACTGCCATCTCCTCCCATGGAGCATCTTGGTCCAGCAAACAAGAAAGTTTTCCTGTATTTTGATAGTCTCATCTCATTTATCTATGTAGACCTGTGTGTTTTGATTTTGGTTTTTTTGTTCGTTTGTTTATTTTTGAAGTGTTTACTTTGGGGTACACCAAGGTTTCAAATATTTCTGTATTTAAATCTGTGATTTAAAAGGAAGTATAGATGTTATACATAAACAAGTGAACAATTTAGACACCGTTAAGGTCATTACAGTACTTGTAAACAGTATCTGAAATGCCTAAATTAGAGTGTTTTTTTTGAACTGAGGCAGTCTGGTTCCATTGAATAGTAACTCGGTATTTCAGGCAGTAGCTGCATTGACTTACCTGTTGGTTTTGTGTTGGTTTAGGTTATATTGGAGTTGTAAACAGAAGCCAGAAAGACATTGATGGGAAGAAGGACATAAAGGCAGCTCTTCTAGCAGAAAGGAAATTCTTTCTTTCCCACCCAGCGTATAGGCACATGGCAGATCGGATGGGAACGCCGTATCTCCAGAAAGTTCTAAACCAGGTAAAACCTGAAGCCTTTGTGGTGAAAGGCAGCTTTTATAATGACAGGACCAGTATAAAATCTTTATTAAAATGAATGTTGGTCACTTATATTCTTTCCTGCTTTTAATGTTTTTAATTTTCACGATGAAATAAACAAAACTATATTACGTGGAGCATGAGAAAACTTCCTGTGAGATGTAGTTCTTGACTTTTACTGACAGTCATGCACTCCCCTGTTCTCTTGAATACTGCATATGAACATAAAAAATAACATTTGGTTGCCTTCTTGGACGTATACCATCCTATTCCTTAATTACCACATTTCTTTTCGTTTAACAGGATTTTTAGAATTCAAATTTAGAAATTGAAATAAAAGAATACATTTTTAGAAATCATGTATCCTGAGGGTTCACTGTATGTCTGTACCGTAACCTCAAAATCTACACTTTGTTGTGCATTTTTAATATCAAAAGTATACTGTATACTAATGATATAAATGACAAATACAGCAATGGGAACACTTTGTTCACACTACCACTACACTACTGGTTTTTTTGCCCAAACTTTTTGTTTATTTCTGCGAGTCCATGCCCAAACCATGTCAGATCACAGCT